TTGTGTTTTGTTTTGTTTTGTTTTTTCTCCCCACCAGCAAAGAACTTTCCAGTCCCAAAAAGTATGTGAAGATGAATGAATTGGTGTTTAGGGTCAGCTATAAAGTTAAGAAAAAGCCCAAGATTAAGTTCTAAATTATTTTTCCTTCCTTTCATATCAGTGGCTGAGTAATGAAGCTGAAGGCTTCTTACACTGTAGAGAAGGAGATTATAAAAGTTAGGAGTCAGTTTACCTTTTTCTCAGTTTGAGACTTGACTGAATCTGAATTTTGTATGTTGTCAAGTTTTCTGCCTCTTACTGGGCAGCACAGAGGGTAGGAAACATGGCTGCTGTTGAGTCCTGGAGCCTAAAATAGTTTGAAATCCTTGAAGGCACAGAAGAGAGGAGTTGGTTGATGCTCTACCTATCCCATGAGCAGATAATTTGCCTTTTTGCTGCTGCCTTTGGCATACTTCTGTGTCGTCAGTTCTGAAGTGTTTCCAGGTTAGCAAGTTTGCATTGATGTTACTTTGCTCTGGAGATCCATATGAGAGCTGGCTGTGGGACTTGGGTGCACCAATACTCTTCCCGTTTCCCCTGAGTGTGTGAACTGCTGATATAACAGTTGTTCTAAGTTGCAGATGATGTACTTAGATTAAGGTCTAGAGGTATTAATTTTATGCAAATGAAATAGGAATGCATGAATTCTTTTTATTCTTTTCTAGAATGAAGAACGTTTACGGCAGGCATTAGAAATGCTAGGCAAGGCATCAAGACTTCTAGTCAGAGGACGCAGGTATAGCTTTATGCCTTTTTTTTTTTTAATATAATAGAATCTTTAATAGTGATTTTTCATTGTTTGTTTTTTTTCTTGCTGTTGTTGGATTTATATACTGTTACTTAATTCTTCTTTGAGATGCACTTCAAACTAAAATTCAGTTTCTGTGGGATTTGCCACTTTCATCCAGGAACCACCTGTTTTGTGTTCTGGGATGGGAGAATGCGGGCTATAAGGCTTTGTTTCCTTTCTGTTTGTTAAATAGCTAGAAAGCACATACACCAGTTTTCTTAAATTTCTTGAAGTAGGTTAACAATTATTTTTTTCTTCCAGCACTAATATGTAGAGAAGGTACTTGCAAGTCTTTCATAGCTGTGGAATACAAAACAGGGGAATTACGTCACTAACCTGAGGAAAGAAATCTGTTTGCAGCAGTCTGATTCTGGACTTTGTAAAGAAAAGTGTATCTTGGAGTCTCAATGGGAATTTATTTTAATTGTTAATTGCTAGTACAGCTTAGACTTGCTTCACTGAAAGCAAGCTTCACTGAATTTCCTTTAAGAAATTGTCTGGGTTTCTAGCTCTACATTTAAGACGCTTTATTTCACTGCAGAATTGTAGTCAGCAAAGGAAATTTACAGAGCAACTTGAAAGTCTTTCTGTGAAAGCAAGTCAACATAGCTTCAAAACGCCTGAAAGACTTAGTTGCCGTGCTGCTTTATAGCTCACATGCTATTGCTAGTTTCTAGAAGTTTACTATGATGATTAAAAGATTATTCAAACTCAAAAGCTGTTACTATGGCTTAATATTGATAGTTCATGGATATCGGAATTACTGATAGCTTATAGTAACCTCATGACATGCAGAAATCTGTTAGGGTACGTAACAAGGCATTCATCTTGTACAATGTTATGAAAAGTTAGGTTTCTCTGAGTGAATACCAGAGATGTTCTTAGCCTGCACGTATACAAGTCTACTCTGTTAGTAAGATCTACTGCTGATTTTTAGTTGTGTTGCTTTTTATTTCAGTAGATTTGCTGGTCTATTGGTTAAACACTTTGTAATTACTCTTAGGTTCATTGTGCTGTATTCCTGGCACTGATACTCCTAACTGTCTTTTTGGTTTTTTAGACTAGATGAGGCTGCATTGTCTCTTCAAAAGGAAAAAAGTATTTATAAGGAAATTGAAAATTACCCAACATGCTATAAGGTAAACTCTAAGAGACAATCTCTGATAGTGCATTTCAAGTTTTTCTGGGTAACTAATGACAGCTGACTAACAGTATGTACCTCTTGGTTCAGGGATATGTTTCTTGCTAAATGATGAGAATTTGTGGTAGTGCACATTTTCCCAACCTGTAACTGTGGGTTTTTTCACCATTATAATGTTGAAGATAAGGTGCTGTTATCTACAGGAGCTGTCAAAAACAACAAACACATAAAAAATAAAGATTTTAATCAAAAATAACAAACCACAAAAACTGTTACTTGGTACAACAGCTCATTATAATGTTAGGCGATAATATGTTTCATACCAGCTGAGGATATGGCTTACTACTTTTTCACTATGTTGTTCTGACTCTTTTGAGTCAGTATCTTAGAATCGTTGCAGATCGTAATGACTTTTTTCACGCTAAATATTAGTAGTCCAGTATTTTTCTCCTATTTCACTGTTAATTTATAAAGAATCATCAGGTTGTGGGGTTTTTTTGTTTTGTTTTTGTTTAGAAAACTATTGCTCAAGTCTTAGTTCATCTTCACAGAAATGATTATGTTGCCGCAGAAAGATGTGTGAGGGAAAGCTATAGGTAAGTCCATTTCATGTCCTATAATTTTAAACTGAATTTTTCGATTGATGTAGATCTACTCCTATGAAAGAGCAATGGAAACACTGTCTGTCAAGAGATTTTAAGCCAGTACTTCTGTTGACTTGTAGTACAATAATAACATTCCCTGCTATGTGGCTATCAGGAATTTTTTTCACTCTTAACAGATTTAGCTGTAATTACCATGGTCATTCTTCTTAATGAACCTAAAATAAAAAAGTTAGTAATAAAGAAGTAGTTATGTGTGACAGGTGAAATTAGATGGAAATCAGAAGTTCTTCCCATTTTATTTTTTTTTTTTCCTTGTTAAAAGCTGAGCAGGATACTATTGTGTCTAGGATTCTTACTCGTATCCTTTAGGTTGTCTTTTTCTTTTCAAATGGATCAGAGATGGATTAGCTATTGTAAACAAATGTTTAGGATTAAAAGTGGGTATTTCTGGATGTTGCTAACTGAATTTAAATTTTTTCAGGATCTTTTTACCCTGTAATGTGTGGAGGCCCTTAAAAAGTTGAAATTCTAACTTGTCATTACCATATTTTATTACAGTTTGAGGATGGAAATATGGAAAGGAGTCTGAAAATGCACAGTAACAGCATCCCACCATAATCAATTAAACTATCTAGTATGGTGATTAGAGGGAAAGATTAATCTAAATGTTTTTGTTAAAAGTTTGCAGCGTGTGAGTTACTGCATTTCTGGTTATGTTGACCTAGGAGATCTTGCCCTCATCATACACTGGAAGAAGAAAAGCAAGATTTCTACTTTTTGTGACTTTTTTAAAACAGTTGATTGAACTGAAAGATAATTTAGGAAGCAGAAAGTCATCCAATTGAACACATTGAAAGGAAGAAGGCATTCTTTACACATCCAAGAGAAAATTCTGGTGTCAAAATCTGGATTAGTGTTTAACCCTGGTTCCAGAGACTTTCCCAGCAACTCTCCATTTCACCTTTCATTAGGACTTCAGTAACAAAATACTGAAACGACATATTTTTACTTAAACTGTGGGTTTTAGTGAAATGACTTAAACATATGTGTAAGTTAAATTGTACTTTATTTTTAGAAAGAATTTTTCAAGATCAATCTTTAAACGTCTTGCTCATATTTTCCAAGTCCTCAATTTGTATTTTATATATAGAAACTCCTTACAGAATTTTTCTGTATGTAAAGTGGAGGAAGAGTTTATTGACTAGTCAGGAAAAACTGAAAAATTCTACTATTTTCTTTTGGTCTTGACTATGACTGTGGTCTTATTCTTAGCATGCAAACTAATATTGCTGAAAGTTTAATTTTATGGATATGATCTGTATACCTGGAGAAATGAAAGTGGTTATAGGCAGTTTTGTGGAATAAGCAGTCCATCAGATTCTTAAAAGCTGCTTGCTCTTCTGCTGTTAATGAAGCAGCATTGAAAGATAGAACAGCTGAGTGTCACGTAGATTGCTGAAATGCCCTAAATGAACTGTTAATTTCCTTCAGTATACCAGGATTTAATGGGAGTGAAGACTGTGCAGCTCTAGAGCAACTTTTAGAAGGGTATGACCAGCAAGATCAGGATCAAGTTTCTGAAGTCTGTAATTTGCCACTCTTCAAATACATGGACAATGATGTAAGTAGGCAGTTCCTATGGGATTTTTTTTTTTAATATATAATCTTTTTGCTTGTTCCAGTAGAAATTTTTTTTTTCTAGTAGAGTAAAATAAGAAGAGCAGGGTCCCTGTACTTGGTGTGACTTGCTGTCATCCTACCCTGTGCCTGTGAACTTTATGTGCATAAGAATACTTTATGTGTTCTTTTACTTTGTTGCCTGCCAATGTAAATTCCCACATTGTTGTTTCTTTCAGATAGTGGGAAGGCTTAGGTGAAAGAGCAGTTTGTTGTGGATTTGCTGAGTTTGACAAATTGACCAAAATTCAGTTTCCTTCTGCTTGGTTCCTTAGGGGCCAGAACAGTTTGCTGCTTATGCTTTATCTCAGAAATGCCTTATTACAGAATATGATGTCTACAGGATGGCATTATTGAATGGTTTTTTTCAGCACTTATTCATTAGCAAGGTACTAATTAGTGAAAGGTGGGGTTTTTTTCATTTTAAGAAAGTAGTTGTATGTAGTCATCGTCCGTCCCCTCTTTTTTTTTTTTTTTCTTTTTTTAAATTGTACTTGTAAATTGTAGAAAGTATAAGGATAGGAAAGGTATGAAGTAAAGGAGACATCCATCCATGCCAAACTTCGTAACAGTATTGACTAATTTTATTTTGTTACTATGTTGAATAGTGAAAGTTAAGGTACCAGTCTTACTGAAAAACGGTTGTAAGACTTTTTACGTGAGCTATTACTAGATAATGTATGCAGAGCTGCATACTGAAAAATCATTATTTTTACGTAAAGCTTGAACCACAGAAGCTGTAGGATATGGCCAAATTATTCTATAAGAAGCAGTATCAATACAGATCTTGCATCCCATTCTTCGAGTGTTTGAGATAGAATAAGCCTAACATTGGTTCATTTTTTCTAAGCTGGAAAAAATATGCTCTGAAAGCAGCATCAATCTGTTTTCTGTACTTAATGTTACCTGCTTGTTTATTGTGAGAGTCAGTCAGTTCTGTGCAGTATAATTCGACAAGATTTTTACTTCTGTGGTAGTATAGAAATTAAACTTGCCTTGTTGTTGTCAGTATGCCAAGCTTGGTCTTACCTTGGTGGTCCCAGGAGGTGGAATCAAGAAGAAATCGCCAAACACTGCACAAGACAAAGCAAGAGGACCAGCTGCAGTGGGCTCTCATGCTGACGAGGAAGAGGATGAATATTCTGGTGGACTATGCTAGCTGCAGACATAGGTTGTCTTAAATATCTGACTTATTTGTGATGTTGAGCATATCCAAAGGTACCAGACTTACCAGAGCTTCATTGCAATTGTGTTATGGGAATGCTAATATTAACTTGGCAGCTTCTGGGTACAATACAGGAGAAAAAGCATGATTGTACCTATCATCTTGAAACATCTTTGGGCTTCATTTCTTACCTGGTAGGAATTTCCTCAGGGCTCTGCCTTCAGTTGACGGGAAAAATTTGGGAGAAATTTTTACTAAAAGCACAGTTTAAAAGAAACCAAAACCCTGGAAGCACTGGAGTAGGGAGAGTGGTACAAAATTTTAAATGCTGGATTTCAACAGCTGACACTTCTTGGTCCCAGTGATATGTTTTTGATTGTTTTCTGAGTTAAATATACAATCGTTCACCTGTCTTATTTATCTCCTGTTTATCACCATTTCACGCAGACTGTGCCGGGCAGGATTTGTCACTAGTACAAGCACTAGGGGGAGCATTCCGTTTATTTTCGACGTGTTTTTACTCCACTGCGGAGTATTATTTTAATACCTTATTCTTTGCAAGCAGTATCCATGTGAGTGTGGAAAATACTAAGTCAACTAGTTTGAACCTATCTTGCAAACTTAAGATGAAAGATGTGTGTGTACTTTTAAGAACTTTATTTAACAAGTCTTTGGAAATAAGTATGTGCATAGTGTTTATGACATACACCTTGGGAATGGAAGGAGTGGACAACCTTTCTTAGCAGTGTTTCTGAAGCATGCCATAACCAAAAAAGAAACTGAAGGTAGCAGATAATGTGCACTGAATATAAACCTCTGAAAACAATGTTTAACAAAAACTTAAATGGAATGTTTCAATGATATGTTTGAGTTCACAGCTATCTCTTACAAACGGCGTTTTTCAAACTAGCTCAAAATCTAAAGTAACCAAATTTGAATGCATCTTCTCTATTTTTATTTGGTTTCATGTTGTCATGCGTTTTGCAAGCTTCTGTAGCATCTCAAATTTGTTTGACCATTTTATGCTTAAAAGTTGACAACACTAGAAGTTGTACCTGTGGTCTTGTTTCTTCAGAACCACCTAATCAAGATCTGCACTAGGGTGAGATCACCTGCAATCCAGCAGGGATTTGTGTGTGATACGTGATGCCCAAAGTTCAATAAACAGTAGACCAAAAGCACAGTGTTAAGTGTTGGTATAGTTTCTGCCATATTAAGGAATTGGATGTCTTAAATATCAAGCGTATATCTGACATATATGTGACATCTCACATCAGTGTCAGACATAATTCTGATTAAGGTGAACTTTTGGGGGGCTAATACTCACTTTACTTGGGGTGGATAGCACTCAATAGCATTCTGAGGGGTGCACAGACTACAGCATAATTTGCAGGCAGGGCTGCTGTAAAAGTCACATTATTCAATTTAATAGGTGTTGAAAAACAGTTTTGTCTCTTTGTATTATGTAATAATCTTGGGTTTTAAAGGTATTTGAGACTACACCTGTAGTTCTTTACTATCTGACACGTAATTTCCCTTTGTTGCTAATGATGTATATAGGAGTTTTTGCTCTTCCTAAAATTTTGTTTACACTATTTATAGAAGTGAGTTGCTTTTCTCTGAGAATGATTACAGGTATACATGAAAGATGGTTTTGAAGACTTTCCTGTAACTTTTTTTTTTTTTCCACCATTGGAGCAACTCACTTCACTTTGCTCAACTTCTGCCTTCTGGATTTGTTGAAGAAGGTGACCATGCACTTTTATGGGAAAGTCTTTATCACAAGTAGAAACAAAACACACATGTAGGAGCACTGGGAACACTAAGTAATTTTCTTCAAGCATTTCCTGCTGCTTCTCATTCTGAAATCAGTTTTGTTGAATGGTCCCAAGGAGTCTGCTTTTTTGTGTCTGTGAATAATTGCATATATCTGAGAAGATCACATGCATAAGAAAAAAAATTGGGAACCTTGTGTGCTTCTGTTAAAGAACTTGCAGACTTTATTTAAACTGTGCTTCTAAGTCCAACAGACCCTTAAAAGAAAAATTAAAATTTATGCATTAGATTCTTAAAGCATACTTTTCATATTGTCAAAAAAATAAAATAGATGTGCAAGACTGTCTTCCCCTCTCCCCTAGCTTTTTTCTTTTTTCCTTGTGCCAAGTGTGGAAAATCTGGGACAAAAGTAACTTGTACTAAACATGTTAAGCTGCCATGGAATTGAAAGGGGCTTCTCTGAATTGTAGGAGTAGAATCTTAATCTTTGATTGCAGTGTTGCTGCTAAGACCAAATCTGCAGAAATGGAAGTGTCTGAAAATAAGATGGTCTATTTTATATAACTTACTCTCCTATTTTAGGCAATGAAAAGTGTGATAGGAATGTTAACTGCCTTTTAGTAAATGTTTAACTATAGAAGAAACTGTCTGTATATTACGTGTTAGTGTTTGTTTCTATCTTTCAAAGCAATTTGCACACTTATTTAAATACCATTTAAGTGATACAAAGTGGAAAAGATACCATTTACAGCAAGAAAGTTTCCAGAACCAGTGTTGACTGTAAGAAAAATAAAATTAAATTGTGCATGAAGGCTGAGTGATGGCCAGTGCAATGTATATATAAAATCGGAAGATTTCTAAATTATTTGTAATTTAATACTGAGTATGCCCAAGTGCACCGTGAAACCTGTGCTTTATTTATTCTTTTTCCAAATCTGTGATGTGTTAGAGTACAAAATGTGTTTGTAACAGCTCTACAGATGCTGCCTCTTGAGAAGAGGCTGTGTGTTTCACCAACATGAAAAATAAAACTTGAAACTTTCCCTCTTGTTGATTTTCTGAGCACCACCATTTGCAGAGGAATATTGTTTTAATCTCAAGCAGGTTTTGTGTGTGACTCTTTGTCTGCAGATCTTGTCACCAAGCATTGCAGGTATATTATGTGATGAAGGACTAAGTCTTGGGAACCTAGTGGCTCAGGTTTGAGTGTTGAAAGTCAGTGGTGTCCAATCTTTGCGACTGATTTGCTAGACGTTTGCCTGCAGCCCATTTGATTTATCCTGTGGTTTTTGTTTTTCTGACTGACCTTTTGGTACCTTTCTGCTGGCTGTCAGTATTTGAGATGGTGACACATCTTAAGCAATTCTGTCCACTCAGAATAAAAGGTACATAGGTGTTTTGCCTCTCCGCTGATTGTAACATCTTGGTGGTTCATTGTTATCACTTCACTTCCCAAAGGGTTGTATTCAGAAAACAAAACTTACATTGGGTGATTGTCAGACCTGAATTTGTAATCTTTAACAACATGAAATAGAGAGAAATAATTGATTCTCCAGTCCTTGGTCTTTCTTAGTCTTGGCTAATTACGCAAGGCATAAAATGGTTTTAAAAAAAGACTGTGTTTCTAATGATGAGGAAGGGCGTACAGATCCTTAGATCTGCCGTAGAGATAAAGCACTTGGTTCTACAGTTGGACTGGTTAAATGTGTAGCAAACTCTTGAAGTCTTCTGGAAGAATACAGAAATAGAAATATGCTCCAAGGTTTACCTGAATGCTGAAATCCAGAAAGGACAGAGAACGTTAATGGGAGCAGCAGGGACAGGAGAAAGGTTCCTGCACTGAACTGTGCTTTGAGTGTCGATACTGACAGAGAGATGCTTTGTGTGTGCCTCTGGACACTGCTGGAGGCTGAAAGGGGTGCCTGGACCAAAACACCTGTGGGTCAGTGGAATGTAGAGGATGCCCTGGCTATTAGAACTTCAACATTCATTTCTAGCAAGGATAATTTTAGAAATGGTATTTGCTGTCCAGCAAGAACATGTACAAGTGACTTAATTGCTATTTACGTCACAGTTTTTTGCTGATTTAAAACCAAGACTTGGGGGTGGGGTGAAGAGGAAGGTTATTTTGGTTTTGGAATGATTAATTCTTTACCTGTGTCATTTTACTTGCATGTTAAAAGTGTCACTGATGTATGTTTAAGCAGCTCTATAGATTAACATAGGTTGTTTTTTTTCTCCCAAAGTTTAATTTGTAATTCTATTAGAGATTAGGTGGAAGGGATTTTCTTTTAAAGCATTAAAATGAAAGTTATTTATATTTGAATGAAAACTGATTCTGTTGAAAATACGTAAGTAGGTTTCTGTGTGTGCTGAGTTCATAGAGAAATAGTGAAGAGGGTGGGGGCATTTAAGGTATAAATGTGAATTTTAAGACTGCTGTGTTTCTTAGAGTTAATTAATCATATTTATCACTTGGGTCAGATTTTTGAAGCTGTTTTTGTCCTTGAGAATGCAAGCTTGTCATTCTTCAGTTGGATCCAACAGAGTTTGAAAAACCACTACATTTCAATGTTTCGAAAGCCATAGATCTTTACACAATTTAAGGCTGTGAACTCTATAACTCTTTGGAGACTTTGTCATTGCGGAGAAATCACATTTACTGTTTTAAAGTCAAATGTGCTGGAATGCTTGAAGGCTGAAGAATCTGGCACTGAAGTTCTTCAGTGTGACCACAATCATCCCTCGAATAATGAGAACAAGCGGCTGTAAAAATGATAAGAACTGAGCTGTTCTTGGAAAAAAAAAAAAAAAAAAATTTCATCCAGGAACTTTTTTTGGGTGTAGGAAGTGGAAAAAAGAAGCCACCCCAACAACTAGTAGTGGGTAATAAAGTTATATCAAGTGGATATAACTTTCCAGAGCAGGAGGGAACCACTTGCAATCTGTGGCTGGTTGAGTCTGAGCAGGGATATTAATCTCTAAGCTAACAGTCCCTAGAGGCCAGCATCCCCAGGACCGGGCTCATCGCTTCCTATGCCGTAGTACCTGCTGGGGATGATGTGCGTGGGTGCTCTATCTGACCACCTTCCTAAAGGCTGACAGGTCGTCGTCTCAGAGCCGCTGTTGTTGGCCCTCAGACGTGATTTCCAGTGCGTACATGGTGCAGCAGCGTAGCCTCCAGCCTGGAACAGGAGCAAGAGGCAGCTGCAAGGCTGCACCTATGTTTAAAGAACATATGGCTGTTGGGAATAAATAACAGATCCAGTCCTCCCTCCTGCTTGTGCCGATACCCATCTCCTCCTCCCCTGCCCCCCCCAGTCATAGACAAATGCATTTATTTTTTTGCCAGAGTGTTTTATCACATGATAAATGGGCCCTTCAAGAGGTTCAAATCCCAGCTGTGATGGATATGACTGATTTGCCTTTCTCTCCCCTTCTCTGAAGATGGGCCTG